GGCTGGGGTGGGCGGGGGCCTGGGGCCAACGCGAGCAATCCTGTGGATAGGAAAAGCTGCTACCACTCCCTTGATGCCTGTGTGGGGGGGTCTGACAGGACGCATTTGGCAGCTGTGCGCTCTGGAAGGGGGCCCCCCATTGTCAAAGACCAGCACGTGTTAAAGTGTGCGCGTGCGTGGTAATGTCGAAAATCATCCAATGTGCGGCACCCGAAGACGCACGTGTGCGATTCTTGTTGGAGCCAGTTTTCGGCGGTCCAGTTTGAGCGCCACGTGCGGAGACACGCGAATGCCCAAGCGACAGGGGCCTTGAGGAGCTGAACTCTGAAGGCCTCCCTGGGGAAGATAGAATCAGGCGGCAGTTCTCCAGGCGGGGCGTGCCATTTTCGGGGGCGCGTGGAGAGGGGCGAGGCGAAGTCGTCGGGGAAGAGCGCGGAGGCGAGGGAACGGTAGAGGTGATATTGAAGACGGACCCTGGGGGTGTCCCTCATCGCCTGCCGCGCGCTCTGCACTGCCAGGGCAATGCTGGTGGGGGGCGAGCGCCAGGACTCAAGGGAGATCCATCCGCCCCCCGGAACACGCGCGCCACTGGGAACTCACGTTCGGCGTAAAAAGCGAGCCGGGCTTAGAGTGCTCGCCCCCCGAGGAAGGTTTTCAAAGCGGAGCGGGGGAGGGCGGCGAGGGAGAGGACAAAGAGGCTTTAAATGCGGGGCCCGCCCCAGAGCTGGAGGGCAGTCCAGTCCTGCTGCCGCCGCGGTGAGCCGGGCGGGCGAGGAAGCCCGGTGGGCGCACCTAGCTCGGTGCGAGCTCCGTCCCGCGATGGGGGAAATAACCGCGATCGGCAAGGGGGGCGAGGGCGCGAGTGCAGCGCGCGAAGCCGAGAAATTGGCGCCGCCCCCTATCGCCGCGCACTCTGGCAAGGGGCGCCCGGAGATTGCTGGCCGTCGTCGCCTCAGGCCACTCCTCGGCGCCAAGATGGGCCCCCGAGCCTCGCGTTCCGAGGCCCTCCCCGTCTTGAGCCGCCCCGCGCAAGCCCTCGCGCGCTCTCGAGACGACCTCGGCGATGCGAATGGACCAGAGGGGTATGGCTAGGCATTTCTGGGGCTTTAAATGTAGGCCAGCGTAATCGGCGGCGCATCTGGAGACGGGGGTGAGGGAGGTGAGGAAGGACATGCGATGATTTATAGCTGCCATATCGTCCGCGCAGCTGCGCGTGCTTCCCCTGCCGGGTTGGTCCACCCTGCTGATGAATGCTCGGGGGAGCGGGTCGTTTCCGAAAGAGAGCGGAGCCCCGAGAGCGGGCGTCCCTGCGGGGCCCCAGCGAGCGACCGAGCGAAAAACACAAAGCACGTCCAGTCGCTGAGCGCACACTAAGGTATTTGTTTTTGACAATCGAGGCAGGGCCATGCGCGGCAACGCATGATGTAACCAACCGCGGTGCGTGCCAGGGAAAGCCTGTGCGTGATCAAATAGGAACATGAACGGCATGCGGGTTTCGGCTTTGCCGCGGAGGCCTGCAATCCGCGCCCCTGTGTCTAAGTCTAGGATGTTCATCCCGAGCTGACGGCCAGGGGCGAAACCGCGCCGAGTGGGGGCTGACTTCGCCGCGAGAACTTGGCGCGCAGAGGCGGCAGCAGAGGCGGCGACGAGCTTGTTGGGCGAATTTGTCAGCGTGAGTGGTCGCGCATCCCCAGCCGACCTCGCGATCTGGATCTCATCTCCGTTCTGCGTGCCCCGCGGAGCGAAAGCAAGATTACCGTCGGGAAAATCTGCGCGCAAGGGGGGCCCACCGCCGCCCGCGCGCTGGCCCCGGCGATGGCAGCTGCAGCGTCGGGCGCCCTCCAGGCGCAGTGGGGCAAGTCATCGGGCCCCGGAGTGCTGCGCGCAGCCCTGCGCGCCGCCCCCCTGAAGTCGGCGAGCGCGGGGGCGCGGATCTCGGCGTCGCCGGCCTTGACGACCCTCGGGTCCGCCGGGTTGCCGACGATCTCGAGGTCGCGGAGGCTGCTGGCTGCGTTCTGCAGCACCTTCGTTATGAGAGCAACCTGCGCGGGCGGCTTGTCGAGAAGTGCGTTGACGTCCCGCAGCATGGCGTTGGCCATCGGCTCGAAGCTCGGGTCGGTGAAGTAATGCTTAAGGATCCATCGAGGGCGCAGCGGCCCTCTCGCAGCGCCCAGCATCTGCGCGGACATCAGGGCGTGGTCGCTGATCTGCTGGCGGCGCGTCTCGTCTGGCGGCGAGTCCACGTGGGCGCTCTGCCATGAGGCCGTCAACATCCGCGACGGCATCACCGTGAAGAATCGGTCCAACCGCGACCGGACGCCACTGTGGTAGTGGGTGGGGGCCCCATTGCGCACCTCCGCGCACTCGCTCCACGGCCGTAACTACTCCCTCTCGGCTGCCGAGAGGGCGTGCCGCGAGGCGCTGGCCTCGGCGATGGACTTGGGGGGCGCGCTCGGGTGCGCAGTCTGCAACTCTTCATCTGTTATGTTGAAGTCGCCGCCGACGATGGCGAGGGGGTGCGCGGGGTCGGCCGAGGCGCCGAGCAGGTCGGCCTGAATGTAGGCAGAGATGTTGTGCGCATTCCACAGAATGATTGGCTCAGGCCTGGGCTGTGCAGTGAGGCGGACGCGTGGGGCGCGACCGTGATAGACTTCTTCGGGAGTGGCGGTCTAGCCCGGCACCTTCGGGGCGAAAGTAATCGCCCCGCCGCTGCTGCGCTGGTCTATGTAAGAACCGAAGGCACTATGCTGCGCGTGCTGGTGGTGCAGGGCATCGCGCTGGAGGAGTTCGTGCACGTGGGGCTCCTGGATCATGATGGCGAATTCTTAAGGAAATACTTGGAGAGGAACTTGAACTTGGCTTTGCGTTTGGCCGCGTCGCAGTGGAGGAGCGTGCGAGCTTTCCACGAGGCCGCGGCCGGGACTTCGCAGCTGCCGCCGCAGGCGCGGCCGTAGCTGCTAAAGCTGCCACTGTGCCCCGTGTACGTCGAGGCCAAGGGCGTGCTTGGCCAGCGGCTCCAACTGCCTGCGCTGCACGGAGCCCAGGGAGGTTCAAGAAGATCTTGCGGGGGCCCGTGGTGACAAGCTCAATGCGGATTTTGTGCTGGTAGTCCCTCGTGAGGGCCAGCTGCTCGCGGTCGGCGTAGAAATTGCCTCCCAGGTTGCCCACGAGGGCGCGTTTGAGCATGCGGAAGGCCATCTCGCCTGAGATCTGGCGCTGGTTGTTGTCCGCGCTGAGGAGGGGCGGGACGGCGCTGCCATAAGTATCCTGGGCCTCGATGCGCTTCCAGCTCTTGTCGTCGTTCTGTTGACAGGCGAGGATGCGACCGACGATTTTGCCAGCGTAGCCAACTGCGCCACGGACGCGGAATTTAAAGTAGGAGCCGAATTCGTCGCATTCGTAGGTGTAGTCCTCCTCGGAAGGCCGAGCCTCCTGGATAGGAGGCGGAAGTGTAGCCTGCGCTCGTCCGCGAGGTGCGTCTTTACGTCGCCTGATGGTGATGACCACACGACGCGCGGGTCAGGGACGCGCTCCCGGCCGCGTGAAGTCGGTGCGACAATGCCGGTGGCGCTGGCCAGCCCGAGCCCCTCGCGGAGCTCGGCAATCTGCTGGTCGTGGGAGGCGAGCATGTGCTGGTGCTCAGCGATCTGCTGGGCCTGCCCGTCGTTTCGCGATGAGGGACCCGCTGTTGCCGCTGCGGCGCGCCACGAAGTACTCCTGCAATAGGTCTGGCTTGGGCAGGTCCAGCCTCACCTCCCGCGGCAGGAGGAGCTGCGGCGCGACCACATCTGCCAGGAGCTGCCCCAGCCCGCGGGTCAGCACGGCCATTGAGCGGGTCTTCTTCCGCTGCGCTCGCAGCCGGTGTGTCGATTGCGTATCTCCGAACGCCCCGGCCTCCGCGGTCCTCTGCACCGCGGGGACGACGGGCGCCTGTCGGCGGTGGTGTCCCAGGTGCCGACGCGGCACTGCCGGAGGACTCATCCAGATCTTCACTGCGGCTGCGATCTTCATGGCACCGCTGCCGGTCGCACTCGGGGGGCGGGCGCTCGCGCGGGCCTCCACGGGGCCGGCGGGGCCGTCTGTCAGCGCCGCCAGGGCCAGACACGCCATCCATCGGTGTAAAGGCAGGAAGGAGTCTTGGTTCCGCTCGCGCACGACAAGCGAGAGCGCCCACTGCGGCGGGCTGCCCGCTCAATTGCTTGAACCAAAAAGGCATCGGAGGAGGAGGAGGAGGAGGAGTAGGAGGATGAGCAGCAGCAGGAGAAGGAGGATGAGGAGCAGGAGGGAAAGGAGGAAGAGGAGGGGGGAAGGAGGACGAGCAGGGAAAGGAGAGGGGGAGGAGACGGATAGGATGAAGGATGGGGACGATGATGATGACGATGATGATGATGATGATGATGATGATGATGATGATGATGATGATGATGACGACGATGATGATGATGAGGAGGAGGATGCAGAGGATAAGTCGGAGGATGAGGAGAAGCAGCAGGATAAAGATGAGGATTGTGTCTTCTTCGTCTTCCTTCTCTGCCTCCTCCTCCTGCAACCACCTCCCTCCGCCTTGTCCTCTTCCTGGTCCATGACCTTTTGTGCTCGACATCGTCATTCTGCTCCTTCTCATTCTTCCCGCCTCAATGGCTACCTGGTGTTGAGGCGTTCCCCTTCTCTTCATCCTCCTGCTCTTGCCCCTTCCCATCTCAACCGTCACTTGGCTGGAGGCTTTCTCCTCAATTCCCTCCTCCTTCTCCTGCTTTGTCTCCTTGGCCTCAGCAGCCACTCTGCGTCGAGGCGTGTCCCTCCCCCCCATCATCCTCCACCTTCTCCTCCTCTTCTTACCCCGTGCCGCCTCAATCGCCACCTATCGTTGAGACCCGCCTCTGCCCCTTCCCTCCTCCTTCTCCTTCTCCTCTTCCGCTTCTCTTCCCTCCCTCTCCTAGTGTTGCCCTCTGTCTTCCCCCCCTCCTGCCGTCTGCCTCCACTTCCTCCCTCCCCTCCCTTTTCCGTCTGGGACTTGCTAAAGGGTGGTGACAGTACAGGCAAGGCTGGCGCGCTACGAATGTTTTTTCCGAAAATGCGGTGTGCACCGGCTTCCTCAGCCCTGAGATCCAACGTCGCCAAACATGCGCCATCGCAGAACATCGCGTTTGTAGCCCCCGTCCCGTTTTCCTGGGGACCGAAGCCGGACTAAAACGTCCGGTGCGAAAGAAAGGAGGCGCCATGATTTGGCCATGCAAAGGCATCCAAGAGGCCAATGACCTACAACCTTGCCAAGGCACGGTGGTGGGCTGGGCCGAATGCCGCTGGATCCGCCGCCCCCTATTGGCTTGCCACAGGGGTGCCCGGCGTGCTGAATCGTTTCGATCGAAGACGCCTACGGCGAACCACCGCCGCCCCCGGCCTTTTTGGAAGCGCCTATGTGGCCGAACGTTGAGGCCAGACCTGCCAAGCCATCGAACCATGTGTTCCCCGAATCGGTTTGGAAAGCCTTCGGAGAACACGTGGGCATCTTGAAGGTCATCTTGGCCGTCTTGGAGGCCTCTTGGGCGATCTTTCGGCGATCTTTGGGGGCTCTTGGGCCGTCTCGGGCCGTTGGAAGGCCGAAATAAAGGAAATGTCAAAATCAAACACCTTCGGGAAATCAATGTTTTTGGCCTCTTCTGGCCTTCCTGGAGGCCCTCTTGGGGGCCTCTTGGGCCGTCTTGGGCCAGCTTCGAGCCAACTTCGGCCATCTTGGTGGGTTCCTGGCACGTCTGACGCCGTCGGGAGCCGTCTTGGGGGCCTTTCTGGGCCAACGGGGGACCCTCTTGGGGCGCTTCGGGGCCGTCTTGGAGGCCATCTTGGGCGTCTTGGAGGCCATCCTGGCCGTGTTGGAGGCCTCTAGGGCCGTCTTGGGGCCCTCTTGGAGGCCACTTGGGCCGTCATGGGGCCCTCTTGGGGGCTTGGGCGATCTTGGGGGCCTCTTGGGCCGTCTTGAGCCGTCGGAATGCCGAGAAGAAGCAAATCCCCCAATTCTGCCAAAACCTAAGGAAAATCAATGATTTTGGCCTCTTCGGGCCCTCGTGGAGGACCTCTTGGAGGCCTCTTGGGCTGTCTGGGAGGCCTCTGGGGGGCCTCTTGGGCCGTCTTGGGCCGTCTTGGACTCTCTTGGGCCGTCTTGGAGGCCGTCCTGGACCATCTTGGGCGGACTTGGAGGCCATCTTGGACCATCTTGGAGGCCATCTTGGAGGCCATCTTGGGCCATCTTGGACGCCATCATGAGCCGTCTTGGAGGATTTTTTCGGGACTTTGTGCTCCTGGGCAATCCTCCTGGGACCCCGGCGGGACGGGCCGAAACCCACTGGGAGAGTTCTTTTGGAAAAAGAACCCAAACCAAAACCGAAATCGTCCAACACGCCAGGCTCCCCTGCGATGGATCGACAGGGGGCGGCGGATTTTGGTTCTTTTAGATTATCCCGGCAAAGCAACCTAACAGCGATGTGTAGAAGCATATCTGAAAGCATTCCCCTTAAGATTCAGATGAAAATCCAGTTGTCGAATTCTGCTGTTCTCGCAGTCGTAGTCGCATTCGCGATGACAGTCGCAGCGGCAACGGCAGTCGCAGTCACAGCCTCAGCCTCAGCCTCAGCCTCAGCCTGCCTCAGCCTCAGCCTGCCTCAGCCTCAGCCTCAGCCTGCTTCAGCCTCAGCCTCAGCCTCTCAGCCTTCAGCCTCGGCCTCAGCCTCAGCCTGCCTCAGCCTCAGCCTGCATCAGCCTCAGCCTCAGCCTCAGCCTGCCTCAGCATCAGCCTGCTTCAGCCTCAGCCTCAGCCTGCCTCAGCCTCAGCCTCAGTCTGCTTCAGCCTCAGCCTCAGTCTGCCTTCAGCCTCGGCCTCAGCCTCAGCCTGCCTCAGCCTCAGCCTGCCTCGGCCGCAGCATCAGCCTGCCTCAGCATTCAAAATGTGGCCCAGGAATGGAGTTCTGGGAACTAGAAGAACACGAAGTGGCCTACAGTTCTGGGAACTTGAAGAGCACGAAGTGGCCTACGGTTGGCTCCGGGCATCCAAAATGTGGCCCGGGAATGGAGTTCTGGGAAGTCGAAGAGCACGAAGTGGCCTACAGTTGGCTCCGGGCATCCAAAATGTGGCCCGGGAATGGAGTTCTGGGAGCACCAAGAGCGATTTTGCGAGGATGTCCCAAGCGATTTCGGCTTCGGCGGCAGCCTCCCCGGGTCCCGCCCAGACCCCCCTGAGGAGTCATGATGCTCTCTTTTGAGACCACTAGAAACCTATCAGCAAGAGCTGTTAGGTAAAAACTCCCTGGGGTTTCGGCCCGTCCCGCCGGGGTCCCGGAAGGGCCCCAAAGACTGCCCAGATGGCTCCAAGGTGGCTTCCAATATGGCTTTTTCCTGCTTCAGATGGCTCCAAGATGGCTTCCAAGATGGCCTCCAGGTTCGCACAATATGGTCCAAGATGGCCTCCAAGACGGCCCAGGAGAGTCCAAGATGCCTCCAAGTTCGCACAAGAAACCTCTCAGACGGTCCAAGACGGCCCCAGAGGCCTCAAGAGGCCTCCAAGGCGGCCCAAGAGGCCTCCAAGAGGTCCTCCACGAGAGCCCGAAGAGGTCAAAATCACTTTTTTTGTTAGGCTTTTGAAGGATTTCGGCTTCTTTTGTTCTTTTCGAGCCTTCCGACGGCTCACGACGTTCCAAGGAGCCCGAAAGATCGCCCCCAAAGCGCCCAAGAGGCCTCCAAGATGGCCCTATGACGGCCCAAGAAGCCCCCAACACGGCCCCAAGAGGGCGCCAAGACGGCTCCAGAGGCCTTCAAGACGCCCAAGACGATCTCCAAGACGGCCAAGATGGCCTCCAAGATGCTTCCAACACGGTCAAGATGAGCTTCAAGACGGCCAAGATGGCCGCTAAGAAGGCCAAGATGGCCCAAGTTGGGCCCGAGAGGTTCCAAGATTGCCCCAGAGGGGTCCAAGAGGTGCTCCAGGAAGGCCCGAGGGAGCCAACATCTTCAATTTTCCATAGGTTTCTGAAGGATTTTGTTTTTCCTTGGTTTTGATGTTCCGACCGCCTAAGACGGCCCAGTGAGTCCCCGAACTAGTCCCAGAGGCCTCCCAGATGGCACCAGAACGGCCCAAGAGGCCTTCAAGCCAGCCCCAAGAGGGCCCCAAGACGGCCCAAGAGGTATCAAAAACGGCCAAGATGGTCTCCAAGATACCTCAAGACTGCCAAGATGACCTCCAAGACGGCCTCCAAGGCGGCCAAGATGGCCTCCAAGACGGCCAAGAAGGCCTCCAAGACGGCGAAGATGGCCCCAATATGCACCCAAGATGGCCCCAGATGGCCTGAAATTGGTCTGAGACTGCCCAAAAGGCCCGCTAGAGGCCTCCGAGACGGCCCAAGACCCCTCCAAGACGTCCTCCAGGAGGCCGAAAGCTCGGAAACCACCTGGTCCGATAGCTGGCCCGACTCCGTGTTCTCCGAAGGCTTTCGAAACCCACTCGGGGAACGCGTGGCCCGATAGCTTGGCCAAACTCAAACCCATCTTTCGGCCATGCAGGCGCTTCCAAGAAGGAAGGGGGCGGCGGTGATTCGCCGTAGGCGTCTTCGATCCGCCGCCCCCTGTGATCTTGCCACAAGGGTGCCTGGTGTGCTAGACCCTATACGGCTTGGTTTTGGCTCTTTTTCAAACGAACTCCCCCTGGGGCTTCGGCCGATCCCGCCGGCCACCTGGAAGGCTACCGAAAATGCCCGGGCGGTTGCCCAAATCACCTCCAAGACGGCCAAGACGGCCTCTAAGACGGCCATTCGCCCACGATGGTCTAAGATGGCCTCCAAGACGGCCCGAGAGGGTCAAAGATGCCTCCAAGTCTTCCCAAGAAGCCTCCAATACGGCCTAAGAGGCTCCCAAGAGGCTTCCAAGATGGCCCAAGAGGCCTCCAAGAGGTCCTCCAGGAGGGCCCGAGGAGGCCCAAATCATGGATTTTCCATAGCTTTTTGAAAGATTTTGGCGCTTGAATTTTTCCGCCTTTCGACGACCCAAGACGGCCCCGAAGGCCCGCAATATCGTCCCCAGAGCGCCCAAAAGGCCTTCAAGATGGCCCCAGGACGGCCCAAGAAGCCCCCAAGGCGGCCCAGAGGGGGGCCCAAGAAGGCCCGAGGCCTCCATGATGGCCAAGATGGCCTCCAATACGGCCCTGAAGCACCCCAAGAGGGATGGCCCCAAGACTGTCCAGAGAGGCCCCCAAGACGGCCCCCGACGGCCCATGATCGCCCTAAGACAACCAAAGAGGCCCCGAACAAGCCCCCCAAGGACCCCAAGAGGCCGAAGGAGACCCCCAAGAGGCTCCCGGGAAGCTCCCAGGAGACCCCAAGAGTGCCCAAAGAGGCTCCCAAAAGGTCTCCTCCTCCTCCTCCTTCTTTTCCTCCTCCTCCTCCTCCTCCTCTTCGTCCTCCTCCTCCTCTCTTTTCCTTCTTCTTCTCATTCTCCTCGTCCTCACGTGTTCCCCGAAGGGTTTCAACGACGGCTTGGGGAACACATGGTCCGATAGCTAGGCCAAACTCTAGCCCAACTTTCGGCCACACTAGCGCTTCCAAAAAGGCTAGGGGCGGCTGTGATTCGCCGTGGGCGTCTTCGATATCCGCCGGCCCACTGTGGCTTGCCACAGGAGTGCACGGCTGGGGGAACACATAGTCCGACACCTCGGCCGAGCTCTGGCCGCAACGTTCGGCCACACGGGCGCTTTCAGAAGACAGGAGGCGGCTGTGATTCGCGGTAGGCACCTGCGATACACACGAGGACCTCGTGGATGGACCTTTGGGCCCACCACCCCGAGCAGCAAAGCATAAAACGCCGGCAGGGGGGCGCGTCCGCCGCCCCCGCACCAAAGCCTTGCCTGTCGGGGGGGGGGGGGGCTGGTGTCGTCACCTCTGGGCGGCACTGTACCTCGCGATGCCGTGGCGCCGAGGTAGAGGCCACTTTGAGAGGGCGGCCCGTGGGCCGTTTTCCCGAGATCGGGGCCGGGGAGCCCCTTCGTGGCCGAGGCTCGCCGTGACGAGCCCCTTTCGTTCCTGATCCAGCGTCGCCTGTGGTGAAACGGCGTCGCATCTCGAAGACTAGGGCTAGCCGGCGTGGGGCGCGGGCAGCGAGGCGGACGCGTGGGCCTCGTCGCCCTCGGGGCGGCCCGGGCGCGCTCCGGCGCGGGCACCGCGGGGGCGCGCCTCAGCCCTCCATGCGGCGCCTCTCCGCCGACATGTTCCTGGGCATGCCCTCCCCGAGGCCCGTGTCCGCCGTCCCCCGCATCCTGCGCCAGCAGGCGCCCGCGACGAGCGCCAGGATGCCCATGGCGACGAGCACGCTCAGCGTCCTCGATCCGCTGCCCGACGCGCCCGCGCCCTCCTCCTCAAAGGGGGCGGCGCCCGGGGGGCAGAGCCTCCACCCATTGAGCGCCGATTCAAAATCGCTCGTCCAGACGATGGGGCCCAACGGCTTGACAGAGCTCGGGCCCAAAGTGCCGCTGTAGGTCTGGCCGTTGATCTTCAGCACGTCGTAGCCCCACTCCGTGGAGAACGTGTCGGCGGTGACGTGGGATATCTTGTCGACGTTCACCCCGATGACGCACTTCTCGTCGTCCCCGTAGGTCTTCGGGTAGTTCGGACTCAGGATGCAGTCGCTGCGGTCCTTCGTGCACGGGCCAGAAACGACGGCCCACGCGACGTCGCTCGGCACCTCCACCTCCGCGGTGCCGTAGTCGTTGGGCGTGGGCGTATACTGTGTGCCGGTGTACGTGCCTGTCGAGCCGCCGCCGCAAGAGCAACACGCCTCGACGGCGCTCTTTCCGCCCTCTTGGAAGTCGGAGAGCGTGCCCCACTGAGCGTGCCACCCAATGCCTGGCTGCCCTGCGGTGGTGCAGTAGAAGGACTGGGAGTAAACAAAGCAGTCGTCTCCATCTTTGTCCGCCCAGCCCTCGGTGTCAGCGCACTGGTTGTCGTTGTAACCCTGGTTGGTGCCGCTGCCGCCGCCGCAGGCGCAGCAGGCAGTGGACGCGTCGTAACCGTCCATCGCGAAAGACCCGAACCTGCCCCAATTGTTGTCCCACTCCGCGCCATAACCACCCGAAGCCGTACAGAACTCGTTGAACTCGTACGCATAACAATCGTCGCCGTCAGAGTCGGACCAACCTGGTGGATAATCCGTGCACCCAGGTGTCGTCATAGTCTCTGGCCTGCAATAGCCCCAGTCGAAATCCTCGCACTCGGGATCCTCCACATAGCAGTAATCACCCCATGTGTCGCCGTCAAGGTTGCAGCATCCATCGCTGCATGTCTGGCCATCCTCGTCCCAGTTGGCCTTGCACCTGCAGTTGGACCAAGTGTAACGCGTTGCTGGCGGCGTCGGCGTCGCCTCCTGGCAGAGCCGCCACCCCGTCCCACCCAACTCCGAATCGCTTGACCAGATGATGGCGGCCACCGGCTTGACAAAATATGGGCCCACGGTGCCGCTGTAGAGCTGGCCGTTGATCTTCAGCGTGTCGTAGCCCCACTCCGTGGAGAACTTTTCGGCGGTGACGTACGATATCTCGTTGGCGTTCACCCCGATGACGCACTTCTCGTTGTCCCCATAAGTCCTTGGATAGTTCGGACTCCGGATGCAATCGCTGCTGTCCTTCGTGCACGGGCCCGAAACGACGGCCCACGCGACACCCCTTGGCACCTCCACCCCCGCGGTTTCGTCGTTAGGCGTGGGCGTATACTGAGTGCCGGCGTATATGCCATTCTTGCCGCCGCCGCACGCGCAGCACGCCTCGACGGCGCTCTCTCCGCCCGCCTTGAAGTCGGAGAGCGTGCCCCACTCAGCGTGCCACCCAATGCCTGGCTGCCCTGTGGTGGTGCAGTAGGAAAACTGGGAGTAGTCAGAGCAAGCGTCTCCGTCTGTGTCCCTCCAACCATCAGTGTCAGCGCACCGGTTGTCGTTGTATCCCTGGTTGATGTCGCTGCCGCCGCCGCAGGAGCAGCAGGCGGTGGACGCGTCGTAACCGCCCATCGCGAAAGACCCGAACGTGCCCCAACCCTGGTCCCACCCGGGGCCGTAACCACCTGAAGCCGTGCAGAACTCGTTGAACTCGTACGCATAACAATCGTCGCCGTCAGAATCGGACCAATCTGATGGGTACTCCATACATCTGGGTGTCGTCATAGTCTCTGGCCTACAATAGCCCCAGTCTTGGTCCTCGCACTCGGGATCCTCCACATAGCAGTAGTCACCCCAGGGGTCGCCGTCAAGGTTGCAACATCCATTGTTGCATGTTTGGCCATCCTCGTCCCAATTGGCCTTGCACCTGCAGTCGGTCCACGTGTGCCGAAATGCTGGCGGGGTCGGCGTCGCCTCCGTGCAAAGCCTCCATCCCGTCCCACCCAGCTCAGAATCGCTTGACCAAACGATGGCGGCCACTGGCTTGACAAAATATGGACCCACGGTGCCGCTGTAGGTCTGACCGTTGATCTTCAGCACGTCGTAGCCCCACTCCGTAGAGAACGTCTCAGCGGTGACGTACGATATTTCGTCGACGTTCACCCCAATGACGCACTTCTCGTCGTCCCCGTAGGTGTTCGGGTAGTTCGGACTCAGGATGCAATCGCTGCTGTCCTTCGTGCACGGGCCCGAAACGACGGCCCACGCGACACCGCTCGGCACCTCCACCCCCGCGGTGTCGTCGTCGGGCGTGGGCGTATACTGAGTGCCGGCGTATATGCCATTCTTGCCGCCGCCGCATGCGCAGCACGCCTCGACGGCGCTCTCTCCGCCCAAATTGAAGTCGGAGAGCGTGCCCCACTCAGCGTGCCACCCAGTGCCTGGCTGCCCTGCGGTGGTGCAGTAGAAGTACTGGGAGTAAACAAAGCAGTCGTCTCCATCTTTGTCCGTCCAGCCCTCGGTGTCAGCGCACCGGTTGTCGTTGTAACCCTGGTTGGTGCCACTGCCGCCGCCGCAGGAGCAGCAAGCAGTGGACGCGTCGTACCCACCTATGGTGAAGGACCCGAAAGTGCCCCAACTCTGGTCCCACCCAGCGCCGTAACCACCTGAAGCCGTGCAGAACTCGTTGAACTCGTACGAGTAGCACTCATCACCGTCAGAATCGGACCAACCTGGTGGATAATCCGTGCACCCGGGTCTCGTCATAGTCTCTGGCCTACAATAGCCCCACTCGAAATCCTCGCACTCGGGATCCTCCACATAGCAATAGTCACCCCATTCGTCGTCGTCAAGGTTGCAGCACCCATCGCTGCATGTCACGCCACCCTGCTCCCAGCTGGCCTTGCACAAGCAATCGTTCCACGTGTGACGAACTGCCGGCGGCGTCGGCGTCGCATCCTGGCCTGGCGAAGGGCCAGGCGCTGGCGCTGGGGCTCCGGTGGGTGCCCGAGTCGGCGCTGGCTGCGGCGGTGGCTTCGGCGGTGAAGTCGCCACTGGCGGTGTAGTCGTGGCCGCAGTCGGCACCGGCGGCGGCACGGCGGGCACTGGCGCCGAGCCATCCGCGGCCGTCGCGGCAGCCGCCGCGAGCGCCGCGGCCGCCAGCGCTCGTGTCCGCAGCGCGGTGGCCACCATGCTCCCCGCTCTCACTGGTTGGAGAAAGAAGCCCTGAGGCCGAGCGGCTCGAGCCAGAACAGCTGCGGAGGAGGGAGAGGCCAGAATCAACCCAGGATGCATCGACGTCTTCACGAGTCGCTGCAAATATCAGCCAGCACAGGCTCCAAATAGATCAGAGAACTGACGTGAAGTGAACTGGAGTGCACTGGGGTAGACTGGACTGGAGCAGGCTAGACTGGACTGGACTGGGGTGGACTCTACTCCACTCTATTCTACTCTACCCGACTCTACTCAACCATCTACCTTTACTCTACTCAGCTCTACTCTACTATACCCACCTTACTCATCTCTACCCTAGCCTACCCTACCCTGGTATACTCTATCCCTAATCTGCTCTATCCTCTACTCTACTCTGCTCTAGTCCTTTACTCTACTCCTCTCTGCTCTGCTCTACTCTATTACATCCGACTCTACGCTACCGTCCATCCTACTTTACCCTACTCTGTTCTACTCTGCTCTACCCTACCATACTTTACTCTGACCGACCCTACCCCTTATCCTATCCTACCCCGTACCCTACCCTACCCTTGTCCTGTCCTCATTCCTTTTTCGTGTGTGTATATATACTCCTACTCTCAACCACAACCAGCAGATAGCCCAAACGGCTCGTGACCCCGTAGGGAGCTCCACCGAAGGTCCCAGTGGGCAGCCCGCATGCGTCCCTGCCACTCATGTCGGCACACCCCTCACACGTTTCGTGGCCCCGTAGGGAGCTGCGCCAGAGGCCCCAATGCCACCGCACGCATGCGATCCCCGCCACCCATGTCGGCACACCCTCACACGTTTCGCGGCCTCGTAAGGAGCTCCACTGGAGGCCGCAATGCCACCGCCCGCATGCGGCCCCGCCACCCGTGTCGGCACACCCCTCACACGCTTCGTGGCCCAGTAGGGAGCTCCACCGATAATCCCAATGGCGCAGTTCGCATGCGTCCCCGCCGCCAATGTTGGCACCCTTCACACGTTTTGTGGCCCCACAGGGAGTTCCACCGAAGGCCCCAATGCCAGGGCTCGCATGCGCTCCCCGCTCACAGCATGTATATCGGCACGCCCCTCACACAGTTCGTGGCCTCAGAAGTGGGCTCCCCTTTCTTCGTCTGACCTGCCTCGCGGTACCCGCACATGCATATGGTTGGGTTCTTCACCAAGAAATTCCCAACCGTCCTGTGGTGTTGGGTCCTCGTTTTGAAGGGACAGTGTCCCGCGTCTCCTCTCCTCCACTCCTCCTCTCCCTCCTCCCTCCTCCCTCCTTCCATCAGCATCAGCATCAGCATCAGCATCAGCATCAGCATCAGCATCAGCATCATCATCATCATCATCATCATCATCATCATCATCATCATCATCGTCACCATCGTCACCATCGTCACCGTCATTACCATCGTCGCCATCACCATCGCCATCACGATCACCAGCACCATCGCCATCACCATTATCATCGTTATCATAATCGTCATCGTCATCACCATCATCAGCATTAGCATCAGCATCAGCATCATCAGCAACATCATCACCATCATGGTCATCTTCACCATCATTTTCATCATCATCAGTGTCGTCATCCTCATCATCATCACCATCATAATCATCATCTTTATCACCTTCATTATCAACATCCCCCTCCTCGTCGCCCCCCTCTTCGCTCGCCGCCGTGGGTTGATCCATGGGTCCACCCTGGTCAGCTACAGCGCTGGAATCAACGCGTGCGAGAAACGCGAACAATGGCTGCAGGCGCTCGTGTTGTTTGTCGAGCCACATATCAGACATCACAATCATCATCACCATCACCATCGCCATCACTATCATCACCATCACAATCATAATTATTATCGTCATCATCATAATCATCATCGTCATCATCATGACCACCAATCTCATCATCATCAACATCATCATCATCATTACCCGTCTCACCATCAGCACCAGCATCATCATACTCATCATCGCCACCAGCAGCAACATCTCCATCTCCATCAACATCAACACACATACCACAACCACCATCACCTTCATAATCATCAACATCATGACCACCATCATCAGAACCATCATCATTATCATGAACATCATCGTCATTACCATTATAATCATCAGCATCGTCATCATCATACTCATCACAATCATCACCAACAGCAACATCTCCATCTCCATCTCCATCAACACAAACACCACCAACATCATCATCATTATCATCATGATCGTCATACGCACCGTAATCATCATCAGCATCACCAGCATCATCAGTATTATTATCACCATCACCATCACCACCATCTTCATCACCACCATACTCATCACCATCACCATCACCACCATCACCATCATCATAATCATTATCGTCATCAGCATCAGCACAATCATGATCATCACCACAACCATACTCATCATCCTCATCACCATGACCATGACCATGACCATGACCATCATCATGACCACCATCATCATAACCATCATCATCATTACCATTACAATCATCAGCATCTTCATCATCATGCTCATCATCATCACCATCAACACCAGCAGCAACATCTCCATCAACATCAACATCAACATCAACACAAACACCACCACCACAATCATCATCAGTATCATCATGATCGTCTTACGCACCGTATTCATCATCATCAGCATCATCAATATCACTATCACCATCACCATCACCACCACCACCGTCTTCATCACCACCATAATCATCACCATCACCATCAACATCACAATTATCATCATCATCATCATCACCATCATCATCATATTTATCATCATCATGACCATCATCATCAACACAATCATGATCATCATCATCGTCATCACCATGATCGTAAGGACTATTCACATCATCACCATTATCGCCATCAGCTTGTGCCACGCTTCGTGACCCTATAGGGGGCTCTACTGAGGGTCCCACTGGGTAGCCCGCACGCGTCGCCGCCACCCATGTCGGCACACCCCTCACATGCTTTGCTCAAGGCTTTTGGTGTTGGTTTTTGGCAAGCTCGCCCGCAGTTACGCTCCACATCAGTGTTGTCGCTGTTTGCATTCGTGTGTCTGGTCTTCTTGATTGGAACGCCTCTTGCAAATCTTACACACATTGCTTGTGAGCTCGCGGTGTGAACGCCTCCGGTCATAGTGACGTCGAGGTAGATTGCATTTTTGGGTGAAGGTGTTCGTGTTCATCGCGAGATCTTCTCGCATGCCGCACAGACATGGTCCCAAAGTGGACCGAGCAGAATGGCAAGAGGCGATACGACATCTCACAAATCAGATGGAGGAAATCACGGCCAGGTTGACCTGGCTTGAGTTGAAAATTCACCACATGAAACATACATGTAATACTGTTGTCACTGAGCATTGGAAGGACACGGAAAACCATGTCACTGACAGGTTGAAAAGGCTCGAGTGCATTTATGTGTTGTTTGATTTCCTCATTCGACAAGCTCTGCAACGAGGCTGCGTCGATGGAGAAGCACACAACGGGCCGAACATGTAACATCATGATGCCCCTGGTTGAGCGCGAATCTGGTTGCACAGCAGAGCCGCTGGCGTCCAAGAATCAATCAATAATGTTTGACGATGAATCCCACCAGCCCTTTGGGCGTGAGTGGTTTAGCGAGCTCTCTCTGTTCTCAACCCCCTAACCCCCTATCTTCCCCTTCGGGGAGGGGTTTACCCCTCCCCCTACCCCCTCCCCTGGACCTGGAGAGGGCGGGCCGAGTGGTGGCAAGGGGGTCTTTTTCGACTCCTGGGAGGGCCAAAAAACGACGACCATCACGAGGATTCTGGTCCCGAGGGGGGGGGGGGGCGTTTGGCGCCTCAACTCGTCTTTGAAGCAGAAATCATTGATTGTACGAGGGTTTTGGCCCCATTTTGGCCTTTTGAGGGGGCCGCGCTCATCTTCCCTCATAGCAAAATCATTGATTTTACGAAGGTTTTGGGCTCATTTTGTCCTTCTCAGGGGGCAGCTCTCATTTGCGCTTCTGAGGAGGTCGCAAGAGGCCCCAAGATGGCCCCAAGAGGCCCCCAGGAGGCTCCCAAGAGGCCTCCAAGAGGCCCCCCAGAGGCCCCCAAGCGGCCCCAAGAGGCCCCCAAGAGGCCCCCAAGAGGCCCCCAAGGCCCCAAGAGGCCCCCAAGAGGCCCCCCCAAGAGGCCCCCAAGAGGCCCCCAAGAGGCCCCCAAGAGGCCCCCAAGAGGCCCCACGAGGCTCCAAGAGGCCCCCAAGAGGCCCCACGAGGAGCCCGAACGACTCACACCAGGACGAGGGGCCCGAACGACTCACACCACGAAGAGCCCGAACGACTCACACCACAAGGAGGGGCCCGAACGACTCACACCAGGACGAGGCGCCCGAACGACTCACACCACGAGGAGCCCGAACGACTCACACCACGACGAGGCCCGAACGACTCACACCAGGAGAGGGGCCCGAACAACTCACACCACGAGAAGCCCGAACGACTCACACCAGGACGAAGAGCCCGAACGACTCACACCACGAAGAGCCCGAACGACTCACACCAGGAAGCCCGAACGACTCTCACACCAGGACGAGAAACCCCAAACGACTCAAATCACGAGGAGCGCTTTCTCTCCCTCCTCCTCCGCCTCGTCCTTCTCCCGCTCCCCCACAAGGAGGATGTACAAGGAGGCGGGAGGAAGGAGGAACAGGGGAGATATGCGCGGCCAAGCGGACACACGCCTGAAAAACACGACTGTCGGCATGCTTCGCGAGAGTTGCTGCTGTGAGATGGGCTGGTGGGGATACGCGAAGCGTAAAGAATTTGATTGTTCGCAGGGGATGGTGAAATAATGCCATGGTTTGGAAGAAGTGTACCAAACCACACAGCATGACAACTCCAATTGCCTGGGAAGACAGCATGGTTGAAGGCCATGCGGAACAAAGTGGGCAAGGTGGTGTGTTCAGTTTCTCGCAAAATGGTTATGAATGGGAGGGCGAATCAATCGTACAACACAACTTGGCTAAAAATGCGTGTGCTGCCCAATGTGTTGTTGTTGTTGTTGCACGCGACGCG